TTCCTTGTTGCCCTGCCCTCCCCCCAACCCCCAAATTTGTGGATATCAGCGAAGACTATTCTGATAAAAGTGAGTAAACAGTAAGTGCAAAAGAACATAGAACGCTTCCGGCGAGTCAGGTGAAGATGGTTAAGCATCACCTGTCAATGGCATGTCGGGACCAACTGTCCTTGTTCAGTGTGTCCCAGAAGGTTGTATGACAGGGCAAACCCAGAAAGTCTCGTTTTCAACTCCCCTGACAAATGACCCCATCTGCACTGTAATTTGCATAGTGGTGGTGAAGGTGGAATGAGACCGAGTCAGGTTTCTATGTTTGGATCATTTTAAGCCTAGTTGAGATCTACTAGAGATAACAGGAGCCAGGGGCCCAGGGAGGGGAAACAGAATTTTTAGCATGGGGCTCCATGCCAAGAAGGAAACAGACAACAATTAAGAGACTTTTCTCTTGGACGTTTTGCAACATCAGAATGGATTTTACCAGCATTTCTTGGTGGCTTCTGAGAGAGCAGATACCTGTGAATTTTGGCAGCTGCTGGACTCCTTGGGATTTCATTCCAGTTATGAGGCTCTGCCTTCTGGCCATTGATTTCGTGCGGTTTCTGGTGTGTCTCTTATCTCTAAGATGGGATGATGTGTCCCTTCTATTTTTTCCCCTCAAACGTAATCTTGTGTGTCCTGATGAGGTGTCTAGTTTGTGAGTCAACAATGAGATATAATGTGGCTCCTAAGATCCTTCGGGGTGCATTTTGGGGTCTACCCTACCTAGACATGTAGATTTGGAGGCCAGTCTGAATTTTCAAACTTCTAGTTGAAACAGCACCAAATTATTAGGATCCTCTGATGGCAGACAGCTCAGACCATCATCATTTAATGGGCGCTTGCAGACTTATGTATAGACGCGTCATCATGAACATGGAGCAAAAAATTTGAGGGCCCCTTGTGTGATGACGTACGCTGTCAAGAGCCGGAGACCTGGAGGTTGATGTGGACTCCCCTGTCCTCCTAATCTGCCTACCTGCCATATTCAGTTGGCCACCCATCTGAGACCATCTTTGGATGAGTGTGCAGTCCTTCCTTTTTGATCCTCCCCACTTCTCTGTATAGACCTTTCTTGTTCTGTATAGACCTTTCTTGCTCTTTGGTGTAGAAGCCTTCCGGCTGGTCTCTGTGCCTATTGTCCTTATAATGAATCTGATCTTGAATCTTCTATATGTCAACAACCTCACGATGATGGTGATGGCGATGGCAATCGTTCGAGTGCTTTCTAAATGTCAAACACTATTGTGATTTTAATCTTCCCGATAGTCTTTTTATAAGGGAAGCAGTGCTATGATCCCCATTTCATAGATGGTGAAACCGAGGCCCGGAGAGGCTACGTGAGTTTCTCAAAGTCATGGAGCTGCAAATAGGGAAGCTGGGATTTGAGCCCAGCAGGAATGTCTGGCTGCCTTGTCTCCTGAGCCCTAAACTGCAGCTGTGCCAGACTTTTCAATGTTCCAAACCCCAGCTCCAGGCAAAGGATCTTTCTGCCTGGAAAACCCTCACCTTGTTCTTGGCCCAGGCGTCCCAGCCCTGTGTGGGCCTTCAGACAGCTCTGTGGCAGTGGCGCCCAGATGGACCAGTGCACAGCAGTCACCTGGGACACCCAATAAATACAGAGCCCCAGATCCTGACCCTGGAGATTCTGATCTAGCAGGTCTGGGGTGGGGCCAGGCTCCCAGATTTCAGGTGACTCTGGCTTGCGAGAGACCGAGGACTGCTGCTGTTGCATTCCCCGGGCACTTTGTCACCATCATTGTTTTATTTCTCTCTGCTCTGTTCACATGGGCAGGGACAGTGCAGTGTCTTTTATTTCTGGAGCTTGTCTCCTTGCCTGGCATATAGTAGTAGGTGCTCAGTAAATAGAAGGTTGTTTGAATCCCAATCCCAGTTTGTTGTCTACTTGGAAAAGCTGAAAGGAAGAATGGGATGCCTAAGCAGCTTTTACTAAGCAGAGAAAACAAAAGGTTTGCAAACTAGAATTTCTCTTCTAATCCGCATGTTCCTACAAGGTGTGGTGGGCTTCTTATTAGAGAGTCACGTCATCAATGCTAACCCTGAGTTGTAACTGAACGGCAGCCACTGGAAGAGTAAGTAGGTGCCGAGAGTGAGTTCTGGGGATCTTTGTTGTGAATAAGATTCCCAGTTTGATCATCTCTACTGGGATCCCCGGGGGCTTCCACGCGGTCTGAATGAGGAGGAAGCATGGACTACCGGGCAGGCTGTGGTTGGCCGGCGCCCAGTGTGTGCTGTGAGGCAATCAGCGTCGGCTCTGTAATCATGGCAGAAGCAGGGTGTCAAAAGGAGCAACAGAGAGCCTCAAGTGTCTCCTAAGAGAGGAGGGATGAGAATGATAATTACGGCTGTGGTTTATGGGGGCGCTTGCGCCGTGTGTTTGGCACTGTGCTGGGTACTTGTGTTAATGCCTAATTTTCTCTGATCCTTGCCAGTGACCCCCTGAGTTAGGCATTGTCACTCCCATTTTATTCGTGAACAGGCTGGAGTTAAGAGTAGTTAAGCCCCAGCAGAAAGGGAAAGGAGCCATCTGGGCGACTGTTTCCCCTCTCCCCTACAACTCACACCCTACCATCCTTTAACCAGCTCGGGTACCTTGGCCTTTGGCTGGATTCTGTTCCAGGAAGTTTCCTTGGTCAATCTTTCACAGGGTTGAGGATAGCTTAGTACCTACGTGGATGAGCACTCGAGACCTTATGTGTTCAGATATGACTTCCTTATTACAGCTGGAAGACATACTGTCTGACACTGAGACACCACCCACCGCTGCGTGTGTCACTCACTGTGGGCTGTTCAAGCAAGGGATACAGACTGGGGTAAATGAATGACCAGTGGAAGAATGTGGATGTTCTATTAAGGTGCATGCTTAGCCCTTTATTGCAGTTATATAGTAGCCAGCAATCATGATAGCCAAGGGGCATAAAGAGATGGCAGCGGAGTTTATGGTATTTCTTAGAACCCAGGATTGTGTGCGGTGTGCTGGGAGCCTGTTCTTGAGATAACATTGAAAATCAGGCCTTGAGGTGTTTTCTTTGGCTGATGTTTGTTCTTTTAAAGCGATAGCTTGGTGGCTACACATAGGAATTTTATTTAGTTCATGTAGCTGAAAAAGACTCTTTGCAAACACCATCTAGAACAGTGGTTCTCTGGGTGTGGTTCCTGGATCAGGAGCCACGGAGACACCACTCCGTGAGCCTCAGTGGGAACTTGTTAGAAATGCAGATCGCTAGGGCTCCACCCTGGACCAGATTCAGCTTTGGGCAAGGCACAGAGCAATCTGTGTTTTAACCATCCCCTCCTCTAGGTGATTCTGATACACTGAAGTCTGAGCATCACTCACCTGGAAAGTGACACCTGATTCACACACTCCCACCCCCCCATCCTGAGACCATGAGCTCCCATTTAGGAAGGTGCTCAGGCTGGGTGCTGGCTCTTGCTTCATCTTTCTGAGGTTGAGGATTTCCGTATAAGGAGAAGTGGGAGTATCTGGTTAGATGTTCTTTAACCAAATAAAGATTTATAGCTTATGGATAAGAGGCAAGATTGACTCAGATCTTCTAAACCAGAATGTTAAAAATATTCACCCTTAATGAGATAATAGAACAGATTCTATTGCTGTTGTTTTTTTTTTGGATATGTGTTATAGCTTCTATTAAGATGCATTTTATGGGTAATAAATACTGTATATACACAGACAATATTTTTCGCAGACCTTTGATTTGTTGTTGTTGTTTTTTTTTTTTGGTATTGACTACAGTCCTGTTTACTACCAAACTTTTAATTTTTTCATACTTTTAAAGGGTTTCATGGCATGTTTATTATCTGTGATATCAAATAGAAATCAACATAGTCTCAGCATTTTAAGGTACTCTATGCGATGTTTGGGAATATCCTGGACGTTGCAAAGTAAGGGCTAATAGTCATGGTTTATCCACTAAAGGATAATTTTCAAATTGCATAAAGTTAACATGATGGATGAATGGAAATAAATCTTCGGCTATAGATAATTAGATGAGGGGAAATTTGGGTGTTGAATACATGAGAGCCTTTTTATGATTTTTCAGGATCGCAAGTGTGAAACAAAAGGAATTCTCCTGGGCCCCAAATTCTTACAAAGTGATAGTTTGACTAGATCTGAGCTACCCCAGGTTTAGCAATGCTAGAAAATAGGAGTGGACTAAACTCTCTTAGTAGGTAGTCCACATTAAGTAATAGTTTCAATATACATCTTGCTAAAAGATTTCAGTTTCCCATGGAAATAATTATTAAAGATAGCGTGATGTGTGTGAGAAATTCTGGGACTTGTAGTCAGTAAATCTGAAATTTAATCTAGACTTTACTCAAATTTATAACTTCAGGCAAATCTCTAGGCTTTAGTTTTGGGGGATTTTTTTTTTTTTTATCTGTAAGATGGCAGGTGCTGGTAATGGCTGTTTTACCTCCACTAATCACTTACACACTGGAAATAAGAATATGAATAAGATATAAACTAAACTTTCTAGCTAAATTTTGCTAATCTGAACAAATTCTATATACCTTTTAATATGTTCTGATCTTTTCAGAATCTAGGTTAAAAAAACAGCAAATTAATCTGAATTATAGGGAAAATTATCTTTAAAGTTAGAATGTGGGTTTCGTTTTCTTTTTTTATTTGATTTTAAATAAACATTATTGGCTCTGGTTGATAGAAACTTTTTTCAGAGTATACTGATTTAGTAGGCATGTTAAAAGTGTTATTGCTTAGTGAGTGAAAATAACATGAGCTGGGATAGAAACTTTTTTCAAAGTATACTGATTTAGTAGGCATGTTAAAAATGTTATTGCTTAGTGTGTGAAAATAACACGAGCTGGGACTTTACCTGATAATATGCATTTTCATTTAGGTTTAACTACTTTGTTTTAAATTAAAAGTATAATCCTGTTAAATCTGAAATATTTTCTTGCAGTGATCCGTATGTGAAACTTTCGTTGTACGTAGCGGATGAGAATAGAGAACTTGCTTTGGTGCAGACAAAAACAATTAAAAAGGTAGGTTCTCCATCCTTAACTAAGTTTCATCAAAGTCATCAATCCAGTTAAAGAATGTACAGTCATGTGCTGCATAACACCCTTTCAATCTATGGTAGATCACATATGCCATGGTGGTTCCATAAAATTATAATGGAGCTGTGCTATACAGATGTACCACTTTTTATCTTTTGTACCATAGTTTTACTGTACCTTTTCTTATGTTTAGACATACAAATACCATTATGTTACAATTGCCTACAGTATTCAGCACAGTAACATTGCCATACAGGTTTGTAGCCTAGGAGCAATTAACCATGCTGTATAGCCTATGTGTGTAGTAGGCTATATCATCTAGATTTGTATAAGTACACTCTGTGATGTTCCCACAATGACAAAATTGCCTAATGACACATTTCCCAGAACATATACCCATCGTTAAGCAACACATGACTGGATTTGGTTTTGTAGAAGTTGATATTTTAAGGATAAGATGGCAATATTTTATTTCAAGCATATTGCAGTATTAAATCTATAAGGTCTCCACAGACCAAAACTTGTCAGTATTAACTCAAGATATCCATTCTGGTTTTCAGTTAAATGACTATAAAAAATAGTATTCTAAAAATAAGCCTTATTACAAGTAGTAATTTTTTTTCTTGCAAAGAATACAGTCAAATGAGGATTGTTCTAGTTGCCTTATTTCTTTTTTAAAGAAACTAAAAATAATTTAAAATACATTTAATGAAATGGAGTGGTTTGTGGTGTTGGTAGGCACAAAAGGAATGATTTAACTTGAAACAGCTATTACCAGGGGAAGGGAAATACTTGGTTAGCTACATGAAAACATAAAATATATTAATAATAAAGCTATATGTGTATGTATATGCATATGTTTTGTTTTCATAAGTCTTGTGTACATGTTTCATTAAAGATTTGTATCCATAATTATATCCATGTATTTATATTTATATACATATGGGGTAAATATGTGCATATATTGTACATAATTTGGGAGCTTTACTGAAGATGGCATGTTTTCTTCTGTGCTTTAGTATTATTTATGGATTACTATTTTTTTCCTTTCCCTTGGGAAGGTGGTTAGATAGTCTAACACTTTGTTAAACATTTCCTGGACAGCATGATTGCTTTAAAAAAATTCTATTAATAACTCTCCTGCTGCTATGCAGACACCTCATATCCACCCGATGGGTCATTTTGTGTAAGGAACGGTAGCTGCAGCATGTCTTCCACCTGGCATTAGGACGGGCATTAAAAGTCAGTTTTGCAAACGGGAGCCGGCATTGTGATTAGTGGGGAGAGGATGCCTGGGAAGGACGGAGGCCATTGTTCCCCCTTTAGTTGCTGTGGCTGGCTCAGCCACCAGGAGAGCAGGGGACCCCCTCCCCCCTTGCATCCTTGCAAGTGAGGCAGCCCCCTAGGGGACTTGGTTGCTTGCTGGATGCGGAGCTAAGGACCAAAGCCGGGGATTGGGGCTCTTGCAATGTATTTCCCTCCAAGGGGAGGTCCTCTGTGTCCCTCCCTCCCCGCAGCAGAGAGTGCAGCTCCGTGGCTGGGGCTGCCTTGCTTCTTCTGGTTCGTATGTCCGTGCTGCTCTCGGGTGGCAGACCTACCCTCGTGCCCTCATCCTCCTCTCCTCGCGGTGCTGTGGCTGGTTCTTCATTTGTTTTGTGCTCTTATGTTGTTGTTTGCTTCCCTTGCCTGTCATTTCCTGTGTGCATTTCCTCCCAGCTGCCCCCCAGGACCGCTGCAGCCCGGGGTGGCCGGGCCTGCCACTGTGCTCCGGGCTCCTCTCCAGCTCCCCTGCGCATTGCCATCCCCGGCTCCGTTCATGGTGCAAAGTATGAAACCCCATTATTTAGGATTAGATTCACTGTGGAGTTGTAGGTGGAGAAAGTGCTGATTTTTTAAAATGCCAGTCTAGTGTTAATATGAGTTCTATGTTTTATATTTTTATGGTGTGCTGTATTGCTTTTTTCTTTCTTCTTTTTTTTTTTTAAGAGAAACTTCTTCCTGAACTGGTATGTTAAAAGAAATAGATTGATAAAGGCAAATAGCACTTTGAGTAAAATATTTCTGTAGATGCTGGTGAGGTGGTGATTTTCCAGTCTCAGTTTTTTTACATATAATTTTTAAGAGCCGTCTTTAAAAGTATTAGGCAATGTGCAAATGCACAGACATACATATTCCTTCATAGCATGGGCTTCATCTTAGTTTTGAAGGATATTTGGCAGCCTGTCTTTTGTCCATTCCGATGACAGAATTATCTTTGCCTTGTTCTTATGAGGTGAATATTTCAATCTATTTCAATAGATTGATGGGTGGATGAATGGAGGGAGAGGAGGATTGAAGGATAAGTAGGCAAGTATTTTTTAACCTGGTTATTTTAGGAAAAAAATTCTGTTTTGGCTTATCACTGGCAGGTTTTTTTTTTCTGATTATAAAATCTGCTCATTAATATAGTTCTCTATAAAATGTTCTTCAGATTTCAGTATTTATATAAATAATGAACACTTTCAGCCTTCCCCCATCTACTCTATTGCTCTCCAAAACACATTTGTAGCAGGTAAAGGGAAAGTCAGCAAAGTTAATTTCCTTCTTGATAGAAAAATCATATCAGCGCTAATTTTCTTGAGGGAAATTTTTATATTTTCATGAGGATGGCTCTTTGTATGTCCCTGCTGTTTTTTCTGGTAATAGCCTGCAATTTATGGTTTCATATCTATGAATCATCGGTTTCATAAATATACTCCCTCTCCCTCTAGTTTGGTTTATAGAATAGTCTCAAATAATTGACTAAATGCTGCTTTTATTGCCATTTTGAAAATCTCTTAGCTGTTTTTTTAATCAAGAAAGATGTTTAAGCAAACATGTAGACTGTATTGCATTAGTAAATGTTACTGTTTCAAAGACTGTAAAAGATAATACAAAATAATTTCTCTTCCAGACGCTGAACCCTAAATGGAATGAAGAATTCTACTTTAGAGTAAGTGTTTCATTTTGGGGGATAATAATTGTTATTGATATCTTGATTTGACATATTGATATCTAGATTCATATTGAGGGAATGCTGGTGCATTTTTAACAAGAAATTCCTTTTAGAATGAAAAATGGCTAGGTAGCCTCTTAATGTGTTATGAATTTTGAAAGACTATGAGTAGTGGTCACAACATTTGGACTTGTTCCATTTGGGAATGTTTTGGGGAAATAAAAACAAAGTTATCCAAATACCATATTATCTTTTCAACTCAGCTTTCTTTAAAAAATAGGATAAAATATAATTTAAAACAGTGTAATTCTATGAGATATGGGTTATGAATTATTTTAGAGTAAAACACAATGTGATTAAAAAGTATAAAAATTGCCATTTATGAACCAGTTAGGAAGGAAAAGTTTTGTAATTCACATATTTAGTGTGTATATGTGTAATACATTACTTCTGGAATCTAAATATGGCTGAATTAGGTAAAATTTCATAAACCTTTTATGTTTAATATTTAGAATAGGTAGAAATGACTGGATTCTGTGAATTGGCAAAGATTTCTTATTAGTGAGCTGTTGTGATTTTGCTGTGGTTTGTTACCAAAATTTGGGAAATATTAAACAGCTTGGCTGTTTGTTTGAAAGAAAGAAAGGGTTTTCTCTTCAACATGAAGATATTTTAATTGTATGGCTGTGATATTTAAAGCTGCTTATCTCCAAGTAAGTTCTTCTGATTAGTGCACAATCCCAAAGAGTAATATTACTGTCAGACTTACTGGTCCCGATTTCTTTCTTTCAATCACAATAGTATTTTTTGTGTTTCAGACTTGGATTACTACATACAGAATCTGTCTTCTATTATGTTCAGAGCTGAAATATGGCACTGATATTTTAATACTTGGTGAGAGTCTATGTGTAGCCTCCACCAGATGTATTTTACATTACTCTGCGAAGGACTGGAAAGCTAATGCGGGCTGATAGGTGCTTAGTTAACTCTCAAATATGCTTTCTGCTTGTGAAACTCTGAATTATTTAGAGATCTTTCAGTTGAACACTTTGGCCATAATGATGTCAATTTTAGTACATCTAAAACTTTTTCCAACTAATCTTGGCTATAGATATATTTAAATTCTGTTTTTGTGGTTTTTTTAAGGCCTTTGTTTTTATTCATCCTGCAAATCTTAATTGAGTGCCTACTATGTGCCGGCTCCTGCCTGTAGCCTGTGGCTGGATTGGTTAGCAGCATAGGCCTTCACAGAGGTTCTAAAGAGATAGCAAGCCCACTGTCCATCTGTTTGTGCTGTCGTTGAGCTACGGGCAGGCCAAGGGGTCAGAAGTACAAGTCGAGCTCTCTGTTCTTGTAATGTCAAATATTATTTCATTCCCTTCCCCGTGATAGAGCAGCCACGGCCTAGTAACAGGAGACCTGGGTCACATCTCTGGCTTTACCGTTTACAGCCTTTGTGACCCTGGAAAAGCCACCTGAGCACTCTCAATCTCCTTATCTCTCATCTAGGGGAGAGAAGTCCTTACTTGCTATGGTTGTTTCTGGGATTTACATGCAGTGATAAATGAGAACACGTAGCACCTGGTCACACATGGGGTTGTACTTAGTAAATGATACCCAAGTGTGGATGATGATATGGGCCATTTTGGTAAGGTTTTAGTAAAGTGAAAGAAGGAAGCAAAAAGACATTAAAAGCCCAGTAGCTCTGACATTGGCCCCACGTTGCTGGAAGTAGGGACATCTGTTATTTCTGGATCTCTCTAATCACTCACAGCCTAAGCTTTGGAGACAGGTTTGCCGTACAGGTGCAGTCCTGGTTGCCCTACCCTCTAACTATGGGCTCTTGGGCAAGATTCATCACCCTCAGGGTCTTGGCTCCTCATTTATAAAATTGGGGTGATAGTTATATATCACAGGATTGCTGTGCGGAGTAGATGAGATCATGTATTGTTGATATTTAACAAGGAAACAGTGCCTAAAAAATAAACACATAGTTGTAAATTGCTGCTGTTACTATTTTCTTCATTTTTATCATTACTGCTATTACTATTAGGCCTAAGAGTTTTCCTTAGACATAGATCTTTGTGAGGTTGTCTTTTGTAAAGGAGGCTAGAAACTCCTTAAAGTTATTAAGAATTATCCTTTCTTATTTTAGAGAAACAGCTGAGAGCCTTTTCTTTTTCTAATATGTCTAAATTAGGGGTAGAGTAATATAGAAATCAGTAATAGAAAATTTGATTTAGTAGACACAGAATTTCCAGAAGAGTAGGTGAAATGTTACATATTATACAATTTAGTGGGTTGCATTATAAAGCAGTATTTTATTCTTTCTGTCTCTTATTTCATTGTTCAAGTGACTCCTGTTCATTTATAAATTATAAACTATTTGTGTCCCTTATAGGTAAACCCATCTAATCACAGACTCCTTTTTGAAGTATTTGATGAAAATAGATTGGTAAGTGTATCCCTGTTTTTGAATTTTGCTTCATTTTTTTAGAAACTGGATTTTCGGACCAATATCTTTACAACTCTGTATTTATGTTGTATTTATGAAGTGTATATGCTCAAAAAGAAGACTATTTTTGTCCCATTACTAGTTTGACATTTATAATTCTGACAAATGCTTTTGTGTTGCTAGGATAGAAAACTTATTTGTATATATGTGTATTTTTATTGCAGTTGATATTAATGAAAGTCATTGGTGACAGATTAGCCCGTATGCTTATGCTATAGCGTTGGGAGTACAGATGGTAGGCAAATCTGTAAACAGGCCACCTACTGGGCCTGTAAACACACCTTGCAGGGTTTTAGAACATAAGCCGGACTATAATGCTGTAACACATAAGCAAATCCATGGTGATTGTTTCTGGGAAAATAAAAAGCTAATTAATGGCATATAGCAAAGAGTTAATCTACATTTAGCAGGGAAATTTAAGCTATATTTTAAAAGTGGTACTTTCTCAAGAGAGATCCTTAGAAAGTAGCTAGAGAGAACCAGAGATATGCTTGAGGCATGTAACTGATATAAGCTAACAATTAATTAATATAGATTGATATATGTATATAGGAAATGACATATATAAATCTGATGTAACGAAGGTTTCATTTTAGAAATGGAATTTTAGGAGCAACTTTGGCTTAAAGTATTTTGCTTTCTTAACTAACTAGAATGTATACATCGAGCACCCCTAAGCCAGGTGTTCCAGCTATGAGTGAACATTGTCTTGTGATATGAAGCGCTTAAGTTACCCCCGGAACTGGTGTTATAACTCAGTGTAGTCAGTAATTCTCAAATTTACCTTGCCTAAACTTATATGTGTTGATTGGTTAAAAGGAATATCCTTATGGACCTTTCTTTCTGCAGAATTTAGTTGAAACTTTAAATTTTTTTAATATCGTGAGGTTAGCAGAATATTTGATCTGGAGGAGCCTTAGAAAACAACTCATTTAACTCCCTGTTCTTATAGATGAGAGAACTCAGGGCTAGAGCTATTACATAATTTAAACAAGTCAGTCAGTGGAAGCTCCAGGGTCCAACCTGCTGGTCTCCTAAGTCTCAGTCCAGTGGTATTGAACAGCCAGGCCTGTCACCCTTATGATAGAATTTGGGAGTATATTTAATCTCATATAATTGGTATTATTCTCCAAAACAGAACACTAATAGATTCTGCCCTACATGTTTTCTGTTAAAAATATGGGATCTTGGTGGCTATGCATTGAGCTCCACATTTTGACCCTTGGGTGGTAATTAGTAGTACGGAATAACTAAATCGCTTTTGTTGCAAGCATGAAGTTTACTTTCTTGTTAAATTGAATGAGAGATTCTGCTGAGGGTGTAGTTCTTGTCTGTCTCTTGTCCAGCAGGGCCTGCATGAATTAGGCAGGATTCAACAGTAACATTAAGTCCCTGGAGACACGGTGCATCCCTGGACCAATGCTTATTCTTTGATTAATTGAGTATAATAACTCTTCTTTAAGATGAAGAAAGGGTTAAGTTTGAAGGAAAAATTGCTTCTTATCCAATGTGTTTTAATTCATTATTTAATTTCCTCCTATTAAGAGAAATTCACTATTAAAACATTGTTTCTTCCCATTTCCACACTTCAAATAATGACTGTAGTGGAGATGATCTTGCCATGGGTCCAAAACTATACTTCCAAACCAAAAAGGGCTTTGAAGGCAAAACTTTTGAGAAATGCTGTGTGAATACAAACTGTCTGAAAAATTGTGTTTTATGACGTTAATACCTAGCTTTGCCCCAGGCCATCTGCAGTGTTGTTACTATGCAAAGAATGTTGGCAGTAGTGTTTCCTTTGTTGGCTATCAATCCGGTGAACACAGTACGTGACTGTAGCAGTATTTGGAGGTTTTAGCATTAAATAAACTTGTTTCCATTTCTCTCTTAGAGGTCATTTTTGGCATTCTAAAAACACATGCTTTTAGAAAACAGTTTGAGATTTGTGTAAACATAGGGTTAATCCTCCACACCCTGGACTCTAGAGCTGTTGACAAAGTCATACTTTGCAGATATTAAAATAAACTTTTTGTCACTCTTTGCAGCTTGGTTTCCCCTCCTATTTTTTTTTTTACCCCCTCCTAAATAAACCTCTTTGTTAAATAACTGATGTTTCAGGGTCATAGAAAATCGTAAGTTTAAAACACAGAATATTTCCAAGTCAACTGCAAATCTGTTGACAGTTTTTTGAATGTGCACTTTTATTTCTTGTGGCCATTTTGGCCCTTTGCTAACATAGCAAGATTCCATGCTTGTGTCCCAACTGTGGCAACATTACCGACTTCTTACTGGAAAGCATTCAGCTCTAGGCAGCATTTCTTCTGCATGGTATTTAAGTTAAATTACTACAAAACCCAAATGCACACCCTTTTTCAATCTTCCTTCCCTTTTTCTGGGGGGCGGGCAGGAGAGGGTTTTTTTCTCTCTACCTGGCATATGGGAGTCAATGTTTTCTCCAGCTGGGTTCGTTTTCTCTGGTACTTCGGTGTCTGACAATCATATGTAAGTAGGGCAGCCCGCGACCTGGGGCTCCAGGCCAATGGCACACGCACCTCCACGTAGCTATTTTGTCACTTGAAGATCATTGTCTGATTATTTAGCATTAAAGGGACACTGATTCTGTGGGGTGTGTAATCGTATTTATAGTACGTTTTATTAGTTTACATTCCGTCATGGTAGGGTAGTGATATCATAAATAACTAGAAACGTAGCATCCCATGCCCGTGAAAGGGTTACCGGGAGCCAAGCCGTATTTTACTTGTCATTATTTGGTGTGGCGGGGAAATGCCGTGTCTGCTCGTGTTTAATGCCAGGTCCCTTGCTCGGGTTAGAGAGAGAGAGTCCCCGCATGCTGCTTAGTTGGGAAAGAAGTGTCCTGTGAATGTGATGTGGTTTAGATTTATAGCCGCGTGGCTGGCAGTGTGTTGGCTGCCTTAGTCAGCTGTGAGAGGTCCCCGCTGGGGCCACTCCTCCCTGATGGAGAAGCGGCAGCTGGGAAGGTGCTGTTTCAGGCTCTTGCTGTTTAAAAAAAAAGAGAGAGAGCGAGCGAGAGGGGGGAAAACTCCACTACGTCCACAAGCTGGCATTGGAGGGGGAGAGCTCGGTCATGTGGTCCTGGCCACCCTACCCTCTGTCACAGTTCGGATGAGAGCTTTTTGCTCTTATCCAATCATGCCTGGAATGCCGCTGGCCACTTGGGTTATTTCTGCTATCTGTCGCTCTTGGTGCCGCAGTGCTAACGGTTTGGCAGATGGGACACTTTTTCTTGGAGTTTGTGTCTTTGGTTTTTGACTTCTGGCAGCGCCGGGCCTGTCGCTGCCGCTCGCCCTCTGCCTCCCGGCCCCCCTGGTCACCATGGCCCATCGGCTTCGGTTTCATTTTGGCTCCGGTCGCAGCAACACGGCCCCCGAGTCGGAGATCCTAGACCAGGAGAGAGAAGACGACTTTTTCATGGCATTCCACACCCTGCCGCGGAGGAGCAGCCCGCACCCCTTCGCCCAGCACGGCGCGGGGGACGGCGGCGGCCTGCAGGCGGGCGTGGGCGCGCTCAAGCGGAGCTCGTCCATGTTCATCCCGCAGCTCCTCACCAGCCTGGACGCGCGCCCCACCCGCAGCTCGTCGGTGCAGATCTCCCTGCAGCGCAAAGCCTCGGACGGGGCCACCGACGGCTGCGGGCCGCCCGAGGGCCCCGACGACGGGCCTCCGTGCGCAGCGGCCGACCCCGGGGACCAGGCCACAGTCTCGGCGAGGGCCTCGCCCAAGAGCGGCTCACGGGAGCCCTCGCCCAGGGACACCCCGGGGAGCTCCCCGCCCAGGGCAGCGCGCGACCTGGGGCTCCAGGCCAATGGCACGTGCGGCCGCGTGCGGGGCCCCGGCCCGCTGGACAGCGCCGGGGAGGCCGGGCCGGGCCTGCGCGTGCAGCACCGCGCCTCCAGCGCCGACGTGCGCCAGGTGAGGCTGCTGCCCCTGGGCGCCGACGGCCAGGGCGGCCCCGCGGCGCACGAGCCCCGGCGCTGGTCCCTGCAGCACGTCCCCGATGCTTCTGGAAGCTCCGGGAAGCGGTGCTTTGTCTTCCAGCTGCAGCAGCCCCAACAGGGCGCTCCGGGGCTGGGCGGTGACTTCAATTTTGGCTTCACCGGCACGAAGGGCGACAGGTTGGTGAGGTATCCCCGCATTCGGCTGGAGAGGAGCACCTCGTACCCGACCCAGCCCCGCACCGGGCGGGGGAGCCCCACGGAAGACGGAGGACCCCCGGAGACGCCACCTCGGGCCGGCAGGGTGGCCCCCGAAATCCGCAGGACGAATTCCGTGGAGAGGACTCCGCAGGGTCAGGGGTGCACGTTTAAGATCAGGCAAGATCAAAACGCAGGGCAGCAGCATTTCAGGATTCTTGTGACTCGGGGGCCCGAAGAAGCGCCCCAGAAACCCGAGGACGAGAGTGCCAACAGCCCGGCTTCCACGGGGGCCGACGTCCCGGTAAGTTCGCGGCGTGTTTACCGGGTGAGAAAGGACCCATTCAACCCAGAGAGCTGTGGCGTGATTAAAACAAGCTTCACCCTGTGTTCCCGGAGTTTCCCCGCCTCAGGCCAGTGCAGCTCGGTGTTTGGTCGCGTTCTGGGGCGATGGTTTGTGGTCCAGCGTTTGGTAGAGGTCCACGAAACTAGTTAGCATTTCAGAAAATGTCTTTTCTTTAGGTCCTCAAAGTCAAAGAGCTTTGTTTATTTGGGAAATCCAAGCAAAACACGCCCCCTTGCCGTCCCCCCCCCTTTTAAATATCTTTCTGAATAAGAGAATTTTAAAAATGTATTCCAATTTTAATCTGCCAAAAAACCAAGTCAGTGCCCCAACACGTTGATGTTGGAAATACATTTAAAAAGCCGCTTGCAAATACCGCCTGGGACAGCACTTTCCTTTAAAACTAATCAGTTCTGATAAAGGTG